TAGTTTATTTTGGGGGAATTTGAAGTTTCTGTGCTTTTATTTTTTTCTTCTTTTTCCTTTTCTTTTTTCTTTTATTACAAATTTACGATGGGTGAATGTTTACCATCAATTTGCGGCGCCTAGCGGCATGTACACGCATGTAAACAAATGCCGCCTTTTGGACAGCAAACGAAAGAAACGAAAAGGAAAAAAAAATAATAAATAAAGGGGAGTTTAGAACTGGAAGGAGGAATGAAAAAAAAAAAAATAATAATAATAAAAAGAAGTAACAAGGAGGCTGCTCACTTGAGGAGAATGTTTACCTTGGAACGTCAATCATAATATGAAAGAAGAGGAGAGAAAAACAAATTAAATTGAATGAGAATGAAACTACACATGACCGCAGTACTTGATTTGCGTGAAGGTTGTGATGCATCGTCTTTGAGTTTTGTCTCATTCTACTTAACTCTTTTTATTTCTATTTACTTTTATACGGAGTTGTGAGAAGTGCGTGCAATTCCCATGATACTGTTACCAGTCCTCCCATCATGCGTCCTATCATTTTATTTCAGTTAATTTATGCTTTTGTTAAATGGCGCTGTGCCGTGTGCCGCGTTGTGGATGGAACCCCCCCCCTTTTTTTTTTTTTCCTCTTCACTGTGGGTAGGGCGCCGGCAAAGAGGGGTAAGGAGCAGGAGGAAGGGAGCCAAGGGAAAACAACAACAGCGGGAGGATAAAACTACACGCAAAGAAGGGGCTTAAAAAACAACAACAAAACAAACTCCGAGGCCTTTATTTGTTTTTGCGTTCTTTTTTTTTTCTCTTTTTATTTTATATCTTCCCCATTTCATATACATATACGTATACACAAGGCTTCTTGCGTTGTGTGCGTGGCGTTGCCGATTCATTAATGGTTAACGAGGAGGTTAACGGGGTTGCGACGGTTGCACGGAGGCTTTGGCCAGCCACCGTCCAGAAGGACGAAGACGATGCGGCTCCCAATGTTAGATGGGAGAAGGATCTTGCATTTCCCACTTTTCGGCCACTGCGTCAGGAAGAAATCGTGAAGAATTCTTTTTCTCTTGATTTGAGGGAAGGTGCGGGCATGGCATATCTTGTGGAAAAACTAATTGCTCAAAATGAGAAGCTGCAAGAGGTGCGGGGGCTGTTGGATGATCTTTGCAAGGAGCTCTCTGAAGCGCGAGACATATCCAGTAAGGCTTACTTGACGGCACGACCGGGTTCTTGCCGCATCACTTTGCCTGCGCAGAAAGCAATCACGAGCCATCGTGGAGTTTGTGCTGTCTCGCATGTTCAGGAGGAGTTCCCAGCATCACTCGTGTCGGAGCATGCGCCTCACTGGTCCTCGGCGGAGATGCAGGCATGGAAGGTGGCTTCACTGCCGCAGCTGTTTTCTCTGCGGAAAAAGTTGTTTTCTTCGCTTTATGGTGTCTCAGACGCCATTACACGGAAAACATTGGACGGGATCAATGTGCCTGGTGTACTGATGGATGCGCAGCGGGAGACGGACTCCGCTATCCAGGCCGCCATGCATCGGCTGCTGGGGGAGGCTTTTTACGTGAATTCCCTTGAAGATGTAAAGGATTTCTGTACCCTTGCCGAGAGTCTAACTGGCAGTGGAGTGGAAACTTTTGATAGGGCTTTGCTTGAGATTCAGCAGCTGACTGAGAATGGAGATGTATTAAATTCATGCGAAAAGTTTCAGACATTTTTGTGCCGTGCCCCCTCCCTTCTTACGCCCAGATGGTGTGACCGGTACCTCTGCGCCATGCGGAATTTACTCGTGGCGTTTTCGGTAAATTCTCGAGAGGCCGAGTTGCTAAACGCGCGCCGAGAGGAACTTGAGAGGATCACGCAGCAGGAGATGATTCATGCGGCCTTTCTCCGCGCCGCGCAGGGCCGGGATGTGATCTCGCAAGTTCCTCTTTGCTGCTTTTGCTCGGGTGGACTTTCAACCGAGCGATCACCTGAGCCGGAGACTCGGCGCCATCTGCCTGACCGCAAAAGACTCCGCACGCCGAAAGCGAAATGTCTCGTGTTTGATGCGGACGCCAGTCGCAGGATGGTTTCACCGCGTTTAGAGAATGGACGGCGTTGCGCCGCCTGTTCACTGAAAGTTCCGTTGAATGGTGCGAAATCTGCGAGAGACCGTGAGTCGCTGTGTTTGACCTTCTCTTCAGGTAAAAGGAGTTGTGTCAACGTCGCAGGAAATCCACTACCTCGCTGGTGGGCGGCTAAGAGGTCGCAATTTTGCTCGAGATTGACGTCCCCGAACAGTCTTTACCAAACACCAGAGGCACTTCGCCCAATGCCATCGGCCTCGAGGAATTTACGTAAGAAAACGCCGGGATTTTTGAGTTTTGGCCCAATCCGGGCATTTTCTGCGGATGACATTCAGAAGACGGGGAAGCATGCTCCACTGACAGTGTTTTCACGGGGTGTGCAGGCTTTCGCTCCTTCTTCACGACCAGTTGCGTGGCAACACACTGTCCGGAATTCGGAACGCACCATATTGCCAACACGATTTGAGCGGCGAGAGGATGGTTTTAGGTCCCCCGACACGGTGGTGGCAAGAAGATGCGCCACTCACGGCCGAGAATGACATTTGGATGTGACGATTGTACTTCATTGAGGCACACAAGCGAAAGGAAACAAAAAGGGGTGTGCGTACTGGGAGAGAGAGAGAGAGAAGGAAGGAAAGGGAATTTGGGGACATAATTTGCTCAAGGAAAAGGTGTGGGGAGGAGCAACACGCATTTTCATCCACTTGTTTTTTTATTTTTCTTCCTTTTTTTTTTCTTTTGTTACTTTTTCTTCTCACTTGGCGGCTGGATGTATATTGGCCGGGATGGGGTGGTAACTAAATTTCTGCGAAGGATGGGGGCTGCCACGCTCCCCGCTTGCGGTTTCCGCTTCTCCTCCTTTGCGTTCTTGTTTGTTCTCATCTTTTATTTATTTATTTATTTATTTTTTGCGTGTGGCATTGGGAAGAGCTCTGGACGGTGCCCATTCCTGAGGCCGGGAAAGTAGAACACGGGGGAGAGGGGCGTATCTTGCAAGCAAACACGGAGAGAAGGAAGGAGGAAAAAAAAAAGAAAAAGAAAAAAAATATAAAAAAAAGGAAGAATAAAAAGAAACGCGACAAAAAGACATCATGTCGAATCTGTACGATGTGCTGGGCATCCACCATGAGGCGGAGGATGATGCCATCGCAAAGGCGTATCGCCGCCAATCCATGGCGTTCAACCCACAGTGCAACCCTAACCATCCTGACCCAAAGGCCCTTGAGAAGCAGTTCAAACACGTGTCGCAGGCATACGTGGTGCTATCAAATCCCAAGGCACGGGGCATCTACGACATGTACGGTGAGGAGGGCGTTCGACACGGTGGGACAGGAAATCAATGGGTTCCTGGAGGTATTGACCTCGATGCTATTGACCCATATGAAGTGTTTCGTTGTTTTTTTGGAGTGGATAATCCGTTTCAGGTTATTGGAGAGATCAGTGGGCTACGCAACAACCAACACAATTTCTTCAGTACCAGTGCCGTTATTCCCAAAACTCTTGTAAAAGTCCCACCCATTGAGGTCTCATTATCCGTGTCACTAGAGGACGTGTTCTATGGTGCGATGCGTCGCGCCACGTGGCAGTCCCACCACGTGCGTCAGGGGCAAGAGATCATCACGGAGGAGAGTTTTGATCTTCGTGTGCCCAAGGGTGCCCACGCCGGTGACAGGTTTGTTGTAGACGGAAAGGGCAACTGGAAGGAAGGATTTGCGCGTGGGGATGTTGTGGTGGTGCTGGAGCTGCTGCCTCATGACCGTTTCCGGCGCGAGGAAGATGACCTTGTTGTTGTGATGCCAATCACACTTTGTGAGGCACTTTGTGGCGTCACGCTTACTGTAAAGACAATGGAAGGGGTCGACATCACGGTTCTTATTGATGAGATTGTGCATCCCAAGTACCGCCGTCGGGTTGCGGGCCAGGGACTACCGCGCAACGAGGATCTTTCCAACCCCCGTGGTGATCTCATCGTGGAGTGTGACACGAAGTTTCCCGGTTTCCTAACGCTAGAGCAGAAGTCGGAATTGCGACGCATTCTGGATGTGAAATGAGTTTTTTTTTTGTTTTTTTTTGATTGGGAAACAAACAAGGGGGAAAAAAGGAAGAGAGAAGGCGGGGGAAATACAAAGAAAGATGAATGACGAGTGAAGCCCATTTGAGATTTTACACGGATTTACTTCTGCGTCACGTTGTTGAGGCTGGCGATTTACGCATTGTGTGCATGTACTTCTTTTTCTATCATGTAGAGAGCAAAAAATTGCAATGGCATCATTGCCGAGGATGTGGATGTCTCTTCCTTTTTTTTTTTTCTGTGTGTGTGTGTTTGTGCCTCTTTATCGTTTTTGATATGCTCAGCCCTTTTTTTTGTCTTCTTGTGGTGCAATCTTTTGGAGGCGGCATGTGCTCTATGAGTTTTCTTCCCTCTCCGTATTTTTCTTGCCTTGTCTTTTTTTGGTGGTGTTGCAAAGAGGGAGTGTGTGTGCGCCATTTGTAACAGACTGCGGGAATTTTGCTGTAAACCGCTCGGAAAGGGACGAGGACGATGCTTTCTGAGCTGTCCGATTGTTCTGCCAGGAGTGACAATCAGGAGATCTTAAACGAGGAAGTGAAAAAAGAGGGGAGGGATGACGCATCCGAAAAATACGGGGAGAGCTTTGAAAGTTTGTCATCCAAGGCGTCCACCCTCACGTCTACTACTTCGAAGAGCGGAAGCGAGAAAAGTAGTGGCAGGCGCAAGGGTGGAAGTCTCCGTGGCGACAGCACCAACAGAGAGGAAGGAAATGCCAAAGGTGAAGCCGCGCCTGTCAGTCAGGACAGGAAGACAAGCGACGAGCACGTAGTGAACTCCAGGGGCAGCCGAGTGAACAACAAAAAGAAGGTTACGGGCAGCAATGGGAATGCACGTAAAACTTCAAAAAGGAAAAAGAGCCGCGGCAAAGAAGTTTTAAAATCGATCTCGACTCTATCAACCATATACGGGGACGACACCACCCCCAGGAGCACCACGGGAGGGATGGAAAGCATGATCCACCGCCTGAAAAAGAGAAATTATGCGCCCCAAGGGGGAGAGTCCCAAGTAACACCGGGAAATTCACATGCGTCCCCCCAAAAAACTCAAAAGGAAACAAACGGGGGTGATTCCGGTGATGAACCAATTACTGTGAACACAACGGAGGAACTCTCTAACCTTTTGGCAAAAAATGACGAACTTCGCATGAGGCTGTTTGAAAATGGGCGTGCAGGGAAATATTCCAACGGGCATCAAAGGAATAAAAAAGTTGAAAACAAAAGGTCCACGCATGAGTACCGGCGGCTCCAAAAATCAACCATATCGGTTGAAACTTCAATGCGCCGTGAGCAGAATCGCCAAGAGTTGCGCGGGGAGCGGGAAAAATTGATCTCGTTGCGCAACGAGCTTCGCAGGAAGCTTGCCGCAAACAAGCAACTAAACGTCTATTATTCTCTTATTGAGGATTGCAAGGCCGATATAGCAAAGCTCTTGCAAGAAAAGCGAGCACTATCTTTGGTGATTCGCCAGAATGAGAAGGTTCTTATTAACAGCGAGGCGCAGCATGCCTCCGATTTGGCGTGCAGACGACTTAGAGAAGAGATAAAGGCCGAATCCGTGCTGACGCAGCGTTCCCTTGAAAGGGCTCGGCGTGATGCATTCGAGGCGGTGAAGATGTATGGAGATGCTGCGTTTCGTGCGAAAAAGTTGGAGGAACAGTTGGAGCGGGCGAATAACAAGGAGAAGACACAAGAAGTGTGCAATGACCCTGATGTGCGTAAACTAGTTGAAGAGAACCAAAGGAAGGCACAGCACATTCAGCAACTGCGGGGGCAGCTGCGCCGCATGAGGTCAAAGTCGCCCACTAACGCAACTCACGGCTCTAGTGAAGCCAGTAAGAGGGAAGCAAAAAATGAGAGAGCAGGCCTTTTGAAGCGCATCAGTCGGTTGCGAAAGCGGGTGGAGGAATTAACAGCTAAGATCAATGAGCAAAAAGCACATGGGGAAGCTGAAGTGAGTGCTGACTCTGCTTTAAATGCCGTCGGCCATGCAGACGACCCTCAAAAGCCTTCAATGCAGAAGCATCACTTCGCCAGCGCAAATGAGTCACTGACTGTTCAGGAAAAGGAAGCGCGGGGGGAGTCGACTTTGATCGAAGAACCTTCGAGAACTTCAGAAGGTACCGGGCTGCTGAGTACCAATACATCGTGCGAACACACGCAAAGTTCTGTTGATAAAGCCTTAGAGGAACTTAAGCGTCGTGTAGGAGAGACGCGACTGAGCGTTGAAACACCGGCAACGGAGCAACGCAGTTCTGTAACATCCACGCCTGGTGCAGCGGGACCGGCGCCCGATCACACATCTGTCTCTGAGGATTTGCATGCTTTAAGTGACAAACTCACGCAGCCCAGCCTGGCCGATGTCAAGAATGATACGGCATCGACAGTAAAGGATGAAGGCGAATTAGAATCAGGGACGTCGGGGGAGAAAGAAGTGGAGAAATCAGAAAAGAAGGATGAAAAGTCCACAGTCCCGTCGTGGTTTGATAACGACGACGCCAGTAATGGGGATGAGCCACACACGGGAACCGGGAATTCCGCCAATGAAGTTGGCCTTCCAGTTTCTGGGCATAATGATGTCAAGGACGCTGGCGTTCATAAAAATTCTTTGGCGGAAGCACCCGCCAGTACCGGCAAAACCGCCAGCCTGCAGGCAGAAGAGGAGGAGGAAGAGGACGATGTATATGCAGAGATTGATGAGACTAAATTGACAGGTAAAAGCGAGTCGGATGCAAAATTAGAATCTGATGTGGTCCCTCCATCGTCGAAAAATGAACCTTCGTGGCTTGACTTTGACTAAAATCATAAGAGAACTGAAGGAAAATGCGGTGTGATGAGGAGCAGAGGGTAAAAGTAGGGGAGGGGGTTATGTGTACACATTTATGTTTTTGGATACGTTTGGCTTTATTCCACATGTCAACTTTTTTGTTCACCCGTAGCTTTAAGCGCATAAGTTCCTTCAAGAGACTTGTCCCCGGAAAGAGAAATGCGCAAATACTTCATTGGGTGGTGGTTATTTCTTTGTTTTTGTCTCTGGCTTTTTCGGCTTATATTTTTGCTGCCGTTTTATATGTGCTGTCAGCTTATTTAACCCCCTTTTTATTTTAAATTTCCCGTGAGTGAAGCTGTTGCGGGTGTACGGCGGAATTTGCCATGTCACTGCCCGCAGCGCCACACTATGAGGGAATGGTGGCGCCGCAGAGACATGACCCCGTGGCCGTCGGACGATTTATTTTCGGATCGTCCGTTGCGTGGCATGCGTCGTATCGGCTGCGCATTTCATGTACCCCCCTCCCGTTTTGTTTCCTTTTTTTGTTTTGTTTTTTTTGTTTTTCTTGATGTACAGAGTGAATTGGGGAGAAAGAGAAAGCAATTGTGATAAGGGTGGGAGTCCCCCCACCCAAGAAAAAAGAGGGAGTCTCACTAGGAAGAAATGAGAGAAATTGCACATATGCAAAGGGAAGAGAAGGAAAAAAAAAAAAAAAAAGAATTAATAAAAGAAACAGAAATAAATATCACCAAGAATAAAAGGTGAAGCCATTGGTGTGCTAGACTTGCTTCTGTTTGTTGTTTCTCCATCCATTGTCTTTATTTGGGTTGGTAATTTGTAGTGTTGCGGAGGTGTACTGTTTTTTTTTTGTAATTTTTTATTTATTGCGATGCCGTTCTTTATTACTTTACTTCTTTCTTTTCCTCTTGCGCATATTTATGAGATCTGCGCCAACCCTCAACTTACATACAAGTTGAGAGAAGGGATTGACGAAAGAGAAATTTGTTGTTTTAGAGCGCCTTTTATTACTATTATTATTTTTATTTTTGGGTGGGATCCGTCAGGCGTCGGGTGCCTGTTTTGGGTGGAGAAGAGCGGCTGGGGGCGCATGCAGGCATCCTCGGTGACGCCACTGCACGGTGCGTGTCGTCCTTTTTCTTCGTTCTCTTCTTCTTTTGCCGTTTCGTTGGGGACCGCCATTGGGGGCGAAAGAGCGCCTGAGGCGGCGGACGGGGTGAGAAGGGAGGTCGCAGCGCCGCAGCTCTCTTGTCACCTAACGACAGAACGCGGTCAACGCCCTGCAGGCCTGACACATGCGTCGCACGGCTCTCGGGTGCTCGAGTTGGAGGAGGAGCTGCGAGGCCTGAGGTCGGAGAATGAAAAACTTAAACTTGTGGAGGAACAATTCTGGGCGCTCCTGGTCGAGAATGAAGAATTGAGAAGGGCCGCAACTCACACAAGGAACTCTGTCGAGGTGTGTTGCGGTGGGGGAAAAAGGTGTACAGGCTCATTTCCTCACGGGATTACAGGGGAGAAAAAGGCTGAGAAGAGCTGGTGTGCCTCTTCCTGTCCTAGTGCTCTCGGAGAGCGCATGGGTCTTTTACTTGCGAGTGAGTTAAAAGATGCATTGCCGATGGATTGCGCAGGAGCCGTGAAAAGGCAGCTGGAGCGAGAGGATTTCGTGGGAAAATACTTACTTTGGCTTCGCACCAAACAAAGAGAGGGCGACTTTGCCGATAAGCCAAACGACTTTTTTTTCTCTAATCACGGAGGAGCCTTAGCCACGGGGGAAGGAGGAGGAGTTGATGCAACTTTCAACACGCATCCTGTACGAGAGGAAAACTGCTTGGTGAGCGCTTACCCTCAACAGGACTCATATGAAAGAGAAGTGGCGTTGCTGCAACGCACTGTTGCATGTACCCAGTGCGAGTTGAAGGAGGCACGTGATATGTTGGAGCTGGCGAATGAGAGTCGCGCTGCCGCGTTACAGGATTGTGCCCGCATGAGCGAGCAGGTGAAGACGTTGACAGAGCACTTGCAGGAGGTTCTTAAATCTCACAAGGCGTCTTCTGAATTGCGTCTGGAGAACGAGGCGCTGAATGTTCTTGTGGAGAAGCAGGCACACGAAATTAAAGTACGAGACCAAATTGTTGCCGAAATGCGTTCCCTGTTGCAGCGACTTCAAGACATGAGGTCTTTAGAGGAGTCTTCTCTTTCTGAAGAGAATGAGCGAGCGCGTCAGCAGCTTCTTGAACGTCGAGTTATTAGCGTTTCTGTGTTGTCTGAGGAGTAATTTTGCCTCCCCTTTTCTTCTCCATTTTTTTTTTTTTTATTATTATTATGAATATTGTGGATGCATCATGTTTTTGTACATTTCTTGCAGATTATTTATCGTACCTTTACGCATACATACATACATATATGTATGTGTATATATGTGTGTGTACCTACTTTTACTCAATTTGCTTTTTGGCATATATATATATATATATATATATTTCCTTTTATATTTATTTTTGGTTGATTTGACAATTTTTTTTTTTTTTTACATTATCTGTTTTGTTTTATTATTATTAATTTCCTTTTATTTCTAATTATTATTATTTTTTTTTTACGTGTTACAGAGCTTCATATATATATATAATATATAATATATATATATGATGGCATCATTGGTTATTTCTTGTAGATACGTAGCACGTCGATGCGTTACATTTTGTAGGAAGGGAAGTCCAATGCTGCGATACTTTCATCAGGGCATACTTCGTGGATGTACGACCGGCGGTTTTATTTACATTAAGATGGAGTGCAGCGGTATGTGTCAGCGGAGATGTATCTCTTCGGCTCCCACAGTCACGGTATTGAAGACGAATCAAGGGAGGTGCAATAATTATAGTGCGGGTAATGATAATATTGGAGCCAATGCATCCGGTGCTGCCTCAATTTCTTCCGCTGCCTCCGTCATTCCTCCTTCTCCATCAACAAACACCGACTGTGCGAAGAATGGCACGCCGCATATGAAGGAAATGGGGTTTTCGCAGTGCAAGAACATGTATACATGGGAGGAGTCTTCTAAGAAGCCTGGAGCCTTTTTTCTTCTTTCTCATCGCGAGGGAACACCCTTTCAGCGTCTGTTTCTGTTTGGAATGCCTCGGGGATATCCGGAATCATGCGAGGTTGGCTTTCGTCGTTATTTTCTTCTTTCGTTGTGTAGTTCTTCTGTCTCTAGTTTTGCCTCCTCTATCGGCTTTCAGTCTATCCTAAACGGGTTTTTTCTCGGCTCTTCTCCCCAGTTGTGGATGATGAAAGATCTTCTCCCGGCACTTGCCGCGGCGTATTTGGCAAATCGTATTGTTTCTTACGAAAACCGACCCAAATTTTGGTTTTTCGTGAGTGTTGGCCTACAGAACCTCTCCGTGGTCGCAGAGATGCTTGTTCCTTCGCTGCTGCCCCAGCATCTCCTTTTAGGTGCCATCATGACCTCATGTGCACGGCAATCTGCTTCTCTTATATTTTTGGTGTCACGTGCTGCTGCCTTGCAGCACTTTGCGGTGAGCAACAATCTCGCGGAGCTCACGAAAAAGTTAAACTCATTTGGAATGGTGATTTACACAATTTTTACGGCATTTGGCATTATGTACACATCCGTTGTGACGTCTCTTGTGGCACAGCTTGCCACCGTATTGTTTTGTTGTGCATTGAATCTTGTTTTATCGTACCAGTCAATGAGTAAAATTGCGTTTCGGATTTTAAATGTCACTACGCTCTCTGTCGTGTTGCGCGACTACGTGGGACGTGGGGGGATACATCGGCGCCACATACCCACCCCACAAGAGGTCAGCGACCGTATAGGGCTCCGTATGCTGGATGAAAAGGCACGTGATCCCAATGATCGCACGCGTCTTTTGTACGTAAGTCCCCCCGTTAGTAAACTTCGCATTTCTTTTGTCACGCTTGAACAGGACGTGTTGTACGCTTGCTCAGCGGAAATGTTTTTGTTAGCCTTGTGGGAACCGGCCGCTCCACTCTCGCTGAAGGAGTGCTGGCGACGTTGGGAGCTGCCGGAGTCATGGAATTTGTTTTTCTCAAAGCTTTCATTAGGCGCTGCAGCGAAGGGCACGTTCATTTGCAAAAGTATCCGTCAGCGGCTTGTGCTGTTGGTTCATCAAGAGTGTGACTCATTACATCTTTTGACAGCCTATTTATTAGCCTACACCGCACTGTTGTATCATGCGGAAACGGTGGGGGAAATAACGCGATTTCTCCGCTCGTGCAACGAGGAACAGTCGGTGTGGCTGCGTCACGGCGCCGAGTTCCGTGAGGCGCTGCGGCGTGCTGGGTGGGATGTGGAGCAGCTCGCGTTAGATCCCCCGGACTTTCGACTATCGAATCTGCACTTTGCCATGCGCTCTGCGCAGCGGTCCTCATGCCGTGCAGGGCGGGGGGGACGGTTCGCGGTTACATGCGGCGTCGATAGACCAAAGACGGAAGAGGAAACAAAACCACGCATGCCAAAGAAGACAACAACAGCAACAACAACCGAAATGCAATGACTCGGCACGTATAAATATAAACTTATATATACATATATATAAATATATACATGTGTGTGCGTGTATCTTGCACGGTGGATATTATTTTGGATGCGGAAGGGACACACACACACACATATATGTATGAAAATAAAACAGGTTGAATACAAATAAGGTGGTGCGTATGCATGAAAAACTGGAGGCCGAACATCTGATTGATTTGTTAAGCCTTTGTTGTTAATGTGTTCTTATTTTTCATGTTTTTTTTTTCTTCTTCTGATTCTTTGTTTTATTTCGCTTTCCGTATATATAAGTGTTTTTTTTTTTGTGTGTGTGTGTGCAAGGTCACGATGACTACGTGATTCCTTTTTTTCTTTCTTTCTTTTAAAGAAATTCTCTTGGTGTATTTGTATATTCACCGAGAGTATTTGGTGAAATCATTATATCTACGCATAAGCACGGCTCCGCCTTCTTTTTTTTTTTTCTCGAAAGACCCTGAACATTTAATATCTGCCGCTCTTGGGCTGCGGTATGGAGGGGTGGGGTGGGACGAAATTTTTGCCCGGAGCCAATTCCATGAATTGTGAGATTTTTTGTTGTTGTTGTTTTTTTGGTATCGTCGTAGATTTCTGCTGATCGTTTCTTTTTTTCACACTTTCCCTCTTTATATATATATATGTGTGTGTATGTATGTACTTGTGTCTGTGAGTTGTTGCTGTTGCATGGTCATCCGCAGCTTTTGTTAGTGTTGCATGGCGGCTTGTGGACATATCTGTCATTTGATCTTTTTTTTTTTTTTTTTTATTGGTCGTCTTTTATTTTACATTTATTTACTCGATTTCCACGCATCTGCAGGGACATATATGCATGTATGCTTAGATGCATGCCTTTCCACCCCCTATTTCCCTCGTATTTCTAGTGTACTTGCCGGGGTGTATGGCTCGCTTTGCCTCTGCCTCGCAATAATCCGGTTTTTTTTTTCTTTTTTTTCGCTTGCGTTTGACTTGTGTTTGTGTGCTTTTTACTCGACGACTGAACATTATGGCGTCGCGGCTTTGCTCTCATGCGTGATGATTTGCAGCGCCCGGTAATTCTCTTTTTTTTTTTTTTTTTGATTGAAAAAAGTGGGAGAAACGTGAGGAAAAACGCGGTACGCCAAAAAAGTTGTGGAGAAGATCAACAAAACACACAGAGGGAAGCTCATTGAATATACACGACAACAACAACAACAACAACAATAAAATAGGAAGCAGTCAGATAAAGGCAGAGAGAGGATTCAAGAAAATTTCTCTTTGTTTTTTTTTTTTTTTTTTTTTTTGACCGTGCCTCATCCAGCTCGTGTGGGAGCATATTTATATTGTTTGGGGCGGTCCAATGGCTTTGGTGTCACGGACGTTTGCGGAGTATTATCATGCATTGGTCACACGTGAGCCGTTGCCTGATGAGCTGCTAAAGCGCGTATACCGGGAGGAAACAGGCGAGCGGAAGCGCATCGAGGCGGAACTGGATGCAGCAGTGAATGATCTTCGTCATGTCATCGGCATCATGATTGGTGAACGGAAGAAAAATCGGGACACTCATTCCTGCCGCCAGATTACATACGACAAGCATACACTGCAGGTGATGGAGCAAGAAAAAGCGGTGTGGCTGCCGCCAATTCCACCACGTTCTGTCATGCCACCGAGGAGGCGCTTTTTTCCTGGATTCCCATTTACAAAATACAACCGACTTGCCGAAGAAGAACAGGAGTTGCGTCACTGGCTTTCTTCTCTGGAAGCACGCCAGCGTGTTCCTATTGAAGAGGCGTGTTCCCATTCATGGCTCCTTTTGCTGTGCTTTTACCAGTGCAATGAGCAAGAAACTAATGGTCGTGCTCGTGTGGAGCGTGAAGAAGACGAGGAACGCCTCCGTATTCGTCGTGATGTGTTCCGTCTGGCGCCACCGGATTACTTCCGCTACCTTTGGATGGAGCGATATGGGACGAAGTCTGAGCCAAAGGAGAAGACATTTTATGAAGTGTGTGAAGAATCTCGTGAGGCTATTGAAAATGAAGAACAGGATGATTGGCGCTGTATGATGCGGTGGCTTTTTGACATGTATGGGGTTAGTCTGTTTTCCGTTATCCGCAGAGAGGTCGCCGAGCGGTATGAAATTGAGGAAGTGGAAAACAACGAACTCTGGTTGTCAATTGTTTCTTTGTCGCGCAAAACGTTTGGGCCATACGGGAAGCACACAGCCGCGTTGGCGTGGCACGCAGGGGGCCGTCCTAACCTGATACGCAGCCTCACATCATTGGCTGCGGGACACGATACCCGAGAAGTTGCTGAAAAACTGCGCTGGGACGTGGAAGACGAGAGAAGAGCCTCTGCTCCGCACGGCCCATTGGAGGAGGTCTCGTGTGAAGAAATGAATGATGCTTGGCGAGAACTTGAATTGGAGCAGGAAAGCGCGGACGGGAAGATGAATAAGACTTCACCGGAGACTTATTCAACTGCTCATGCTTCTTCAAAAGAGTCTTCGCGTGAAGAGAAATTTTCAACTACTAAGCCCGAGCCGGAGACAGCCCCAGTCCCAGAGGAACACCGTGGCTCGAGGAAGGTTTCCGGTGCAGTGCCCGAGGGCGAGGAATATCCGACTGAGGCCGAGAGACCTGTTGCCGCCGACGAGGACGGTCACGCGCCGGAGACAGCCTCAGTCCCAGAGGAGCACCGCGGCTCGAGGAAGGTTTCCGGTGCAGTGCCCGAGGGCGAGGAATATCCGACTGAGGCCGAGAGACCTGTTGCCGCCGACGAGGACGGTCACGCGCCGGAGACAGCCTCAGTCCCAGAGGAACACCGTGGCTCGAGGAAGGTTTCCGGTGCAGTGCCCGAGGGCGAGGAATATCCGACTGAGGCCGAGAGACCTGTTGCCGCCGACGAGGACGGTCACGCGCCGGAGACAGCCTCAGTCTCAGAGGAACACCGTGGCTCGAGGAAGGTTTCCGGTGCAGTGCCCGAGGGCGAGGAATATCCGACTGAGGCCGAGAGACCTGTTGCCGCCGACGAGGACGGTCACGCGCCGGAGACAGCCTCAGTCTCAGAGGAACACCGTGGCTCGAGGAAGGTTTCCGGTGCGGTGCCCGAGGACGAGGAATATCCGACTGGGGCCGAGAGACCTGTTGCCGCCGACGAGGACGGTCACGCGCCGGAGACAGCCTCAGTCTCAGAGGAACACCGCAGCTCGAGGAAGGTTTCCGGTGCAGTGCCCGAGGGCGAGGAATATCCGACTGAGGCCGAGAGATCTGTTGCCGCCGACGAGGACGGTCACGCGCTGGAGACAGCCTCAGTCTCAGAGGAACACCGCGGCTCGAGGAAGGTTTCCGGTGCGGTGCCCGAGGGCGAGGAATATCCGACTGGGGCCGAGAGACCTGTTGCCGCCGACGAGGACGGTCACGCGCCGGAGACAGCCTCAGTCTCAGAGGAACACCGTGGCTCGAGGAAGGTTTCCGGTGCAGTGCCCGAGGGCGAGGAATATCCGACTGAGGCCGAGAGACCTGTTGCCGCCGACGAGGACGGTCACGCGCCGGAGACAGCCTCAGTCTCAGAGGAACACCGTGGCTCGAGGAAGGTTTCCGGTGCGGTGCCCGAGGGCGAGGAATATCCGACTGAGGCCGAGAGACCTGTTGCCGCCGACGAGGACGGTCACGCGCCGGAGACAGCCTCAGTCTCAGAGGAACACCGCAGCTCGAGGAAGGTTTCCGGTGCGGTGCCCGAGGGCGAGGAATATCCGACTGAGGCCGAGAGACCTGTTGCCGCCGACGAGGACGGTCACGCGCCGGAGACAGCCTCAGTCTCAGAGGAACACCGTAGCTCGAGGAAGGTTTCCGGTGCAGTGCCCGAGGGCGAGGAATATCCGACTGAGGCCGAGAGACCTGTTGCCGCCGACGAGGACGGTCACGCGCCGGAGACAGCCTCAGTCTCAGAGGAACACCGTGGCTCGAGGAAGGTTTCCGGTGCAGTGCCCGAGGGCGAGGAATATCCGACTGAGGCCGAGAGATCTGTTGCCGCCGACGAGGACGGTCACGCGCTGGAGACAGCCTCAGTCTCAGAGGAACACCGCGGCTCGAGGAAGGTTTCCGGTGCGGTGCCCGAGGGCGAGGAATATCCGACTGGGGCCGAGAGACCTGTTGCCGCCGACGAGGACGGTCACGCGCCGGAGACAGCCTCAGTCCCAGAGGAACACCGCAGCTCGAGGAAGGTTTCCGGTGCGGTGCCCGACGGCGAGGAATATCCGACTGAGGCCGAGAGACCTGTTGCCGCCGACGAGGACGGTCACGCGCCGGAGACAGCCTCAGTCTCAGAGGAACACCGCAGCTCGAGGAAGGTTTCCGGTGCAGAGGAAATGTAGTTGTGGTCACGGGAAGAGGTTAGTTTCTTGTTTTTGGCGGTCGGAGCAAAGGAATCAAAACCGGCAGTGGAAGCGCACAAAATTTGTCAGAGGAAAATGCTACCGAGAAGGAAGAAATTATGGACAAAATGCATTATTTTTCGAAGTGAAGAATGGTTATGCAATGAAGTTTTTTCGTGTGTTTGTACTCATTGCGGTAGCACTGTGTTCTATGTAAAGTTGGGCTCTTGGAGTACCACCAGTGTCATTTACTGATGAATTATTGATTTTGAGAAACTGGACGGAGAATGTTTAGTATGATTAAGACAAGCGGAAACACATCATGTTTTACATCTGAAATTATGATAAAAATTGAAAAAAGAAAAAAAACAAAAACGAAAGAGAACTGTGTTTTGTATGTATTGCTTTTCTTGGATTGTAAAAGTTTTCTGATATACCGGTTTTTCTTGATCTGTGTTTTTCATGTATGATGTTTTCGTAAAGTTTACAAATAAGTCTGACTTTTTCTTATTGCGTGTTATATGTGTGTGCCGCTGCCACGTGTGGCACATCAATTATGTATTTTGCTTTTTGTGAAAGTCATCGATCCCTTTTCTTTTTTTTGCAATGGACCTTGTGGCAAGCTGGCTATCTAA